AAAGAAGACGATTCGCTGTACCGTTCTCGACTCTTAGTCCTTGTCTGAATTCAGTCCCCCCCTCCCTTCTGCGCGAATCGCGGAAGCATTGACGTTTTATTAAATTATTAGAGAAAGAAGACGATTCGTTGTAACATTCTCGACTCTTAATCCTTGTCTGAATTAAGTTTTTCCCCCTCCCGCGCAAAGCGAGAAAGCTTTTACGTTTCAATAAATCATTTGAGAAAGAAGACTATTCTTTGCACCTTTCTCGACTCTTAACTCAGTCCCCTCCCTCCTCCTGGGCGAAGCGCGGAAGCTTTAACGTTTTATTAAATTATTAGAGAAAGAAGACGATTCGTTGTACCGTTCTCGACTCTTAATCCTTGTCTGAATATCCAAAAATGTTCTTTGTCTGCTCCTTTTTCTTTTTACGTCCTCTTCCCCTCTTTTTTTTTTTGTTGCTTTTTTCTTGCCGGCGTTTTTTTTGGGGGATCGCCTCCACCGCCCCTCCCCCCCCCCGCCCCCTCCCCCCTGGCTCACACCTGCGGTCTGATGAGCATACTTTGATACCTTTTCCGCTCCCGGAAGTTCAGGGGTTTTAGGCATTTGATTACGGTCAGATGAACATACTTTTATACCTTATTTGTGACACTGGTAAGACTCTAATTGGCGTGAGGTCCAGCGGGCGGAGCCCCCAGAAGCTCAGGGGTTTTAGGCATTAAATTACCTTCAGATTAGCATCCAGGGGTCCACCTTAGGGTCCTAGACGGGGTCCAGGTGGCAGAACCCTGGAAGTTCAAGGGTTTTAGGCATAAATTTACGGTCAAATAAGCATATTTTAATACCCTATTGTGACACTGTTAGGTCACTTATTGGCGTGGGGTTCAGGGGGCGGAGCCCCCGGAAGCTCAAGGGTTTTAGGCATTAAATTACGGTCAGATAAGTATCAAGGGTTGGGTGCAGGGGGCAGAGCCCTTGGATGCTCAGGGGTTTTAGGCTTTTAATTACGGTCAGATGAGCATATTTTGATACCTCATTATTTTGTGACACTGGCAGTTAACTATACTTTCTTTCTTGTTCTCTTTCTTTCTATTTCTCTTTAATACACTTTTTCAAAAAAGTTTGGGGGGAGGGAGCTCCCGATCCCCGCCGTTCCAACAAACGCATAACAAATTATAATTTAAAGTAAAATCTTGGAAAATTATGTAATTTCAGCATCATTTGTAAATCCCTGTTATGGAATTAAAAATAAACCACGAATTGTATTCCGCAAGTCCCCTCCCCCCTTTCAGTACACTAGTGCCCCCACCCCCGATGTTCCCTATTAGCTCTCCTCTTTCCCTTTTCCTTCCTTTTCTCTTTCTTTTTTTATCGGGGGCGGGAGGGGGAGGCAAAGTCCTTTGCCCCCCCCCCCCCCGATCCACAACTTGTTGGTGGGAAATTGCTTTTGAAATCCCCCTGTTTTTGTTCTTCTTCCTCATTTTTCCATCCCTTTATCTCCTCTTTTCCTTTTTTCTTTCCCTTGCCTTCCTTCTCTCCTATTTTCTTGATGGGGGGGGGGGGGGGGGCGAGGAAACAAGGCCAACCTGATAATAAGTTGGTTTTAATAATAGCAGAGTTTTTTTTTCTTGGGGGGGGGGGTAATTGATTGTCCTCAGGGGGGGGGGGTGGTAATTTTCCGGGAGGTAATTGTCCTAAAACGATTCTTGACATCTCTGATACAAAGTATATCAGTGTCGATAGTCCTAATGAATTTCTCTTTGGTGAAGCATCTAGCATAAATATCATTCGTACAATTATCATCATCGTCATCATCATCATCATTATTATAATTTCATTGTGCTTATGTCTCAAATGTGGTTTTCTCTTTCATTGTTTGTTCAAGTTCTTTGTGTGGTTCTTTCTCCTTGTTTTTCTATTTGTATGATTGGGATTTGGGGACATACTCGGAATGGAGAAACCATCTATTTACTTTTTTGTTTTACAATCAACCCGATTTGTGAAAAAGTAAGCCTGGGACCTTTCAATTATCAGTAGGCCTACTTGAACGACGAAACTTTATCTGTTACAGAAAATTAATCATCATCCTCGTCATCATCATCACCTTTCTCATCTGCAATTTATTTCTACTATTTAGTAATACATTTGGTTAATCCTATTTTGATTAAAGCAGCATTTGGAAATGCCCCTTTCCATACAACTAAACAAGACAATCAATGAAAATAAAAGCATAAAACTGTGGTAACCTCAATAATCATCGACTTGCTTTATTCATGATTCATTGTACGATTCATAATACATGAAAAGTGCCCCATTTGCCACAATAAAATGGGGAATATCATTAAATCTTGCCATAACACAAATGATTTACTATAATTGTGTAAGACATTGCCCATCATAGATACGAGCTACCTTTGAGACTAAACAGTTTAAGAAATTAAGGCATGTATGACTCCTCCCAGCATAGGACAATTGAAGTGTACCTATAATGATCATTATATCCCTCACATAGATTGCCATTCACTGATTGGTCAAAACTATATCACATCACAAGGAGCATCTCGATCTACCCAAGGAGTTACTACCAAAACCCTGGGATAATACTCCTAACCCCTTCACGACTTTTGCACACACACAGAGCGTACAAGATTTCAAATGCGCGCTCAAGCCATGCAATTTACGCTGGGCCGCAGTAACTGCATTACCTTACTACAATAGATCTAGATTGGATTTCCGTATGTTGGATTCCTTTTAGCTTTGGATATTTGAAACTGTTTCGGACTTCAAAAGACTGTAAATATATAACTGTGAGGAGCATATAGACTCTTTATATGGGAAGCTAAACTGTCTGCATAATCAGAACGCCACGAGCGAAAACCTAGTTCTTTTATTTATGTAAAATTCAATTTAAATAGACCTTATTGCCGATGTGGGATATAAAACAAATATCAACCTCCTTTACTCGGGCAATGGATACAAACTATCATCGCCTCGGTGATCTCGAGGCTACTATCATCCCTCGCCTTGCGGCTCGGGATGGTAGTAGCCTCGAGATCATCTCGGTGATGATAGTTTGTACCATTACCCTCGTAGTCGGTTAATGTTTGATTACTATCACATTATCATACTCAAGTAGGGTAACGGCACAAAGTATCAACAATCATATACACTGATAGTCAATGGAAAATAAGACATAAAACAGAAGTATCATTTAAAGCCCCACTGCACTACTTATACCTACTTGCGCCCTCTATATAGCAAACAATGCCTAATCGGTGACCGCTGGTCCCCCATGATCCCCTTTTTCTTACGTTAATTGAGAGATGATTTGATGAGATAATCACCTGTCAGTGACCTCGCTGGATGGTCTAATCCCTCCTGGCCAAACTAGTGCAGACGGGCTTTAAGCCCAAGGTATAATATTGTACGATATGAGTACATGAATCCGTGAGAACACTTATACTGTTATCTCATTAGCAACGTTTGGTAAATATATAGACATGGATATCATTATATTATATGCAAATCGAAAGAGGTTTACTACGTTATAAACAAATAAAATCCTACCCTTCACCCAAATGGCATATTGTAACATTAATAATCAACAGCAGATTATAATTTGTATATGGATACAGTGTAACAGATAACTTCATTATAATCTGTTACATATGAAGCAGTAAGTACACGAACATCAGAGTAGTGCGTCCATTTGTATTACAATTAGGTAATGGAAACAAAGCTTTAAGAGATTACATGCAGTCAAACAATTTGTATAACACAAGAAGAGAATTAATCATAATAATAATAGTTTGGTAAATATATTGACATGAACATTTTGTATTATATGCAAATCGAAAGAGGTTTACTACGTAATACACAAATGAAATCCTTCCCTTCACCAAAATGAAATATTGTAACATTAATAATCAGCAGCAGATTATATTTTTTTTATATTGATCCAGTGTAACAAGATAACTTCTTTATAATTTGTTACATTTGAAGCAGTAACTACACGAACATCAGAGTAGTGCGTCCATTTGTATTACAATTAGGTAATGGAATCAAAACGTTAAGAGATTACATGTAGTCAAACAATTTGTATAACACAAGAGAATTAATCATAATAAGAATAGTTTGGTAAATATATTGACATGGATATTATTATATATATATATATGCAAATCGAAAGAGGTTTACTACGTAATACAAAAATGAAATCCTACCCTTCACCAAAATGAAATATTGTAACATTAATAATCAGCAGCAGATTATATTTTTTTATATTGATCCAGTGTAACAAGATAACTTCTTTATAATTTGTTACATTTGAAGCAGTAACTACACGAACATCAGAGTAGTGCGTCCATTTGTATTACAATTAGGTAATGGAATCAAAACGTTAAGAGATTACATGTAGTCAAACAATTTGTATAACACAAGAGAATTAATCATAATAAGAATAGTTTGGTAAATATATTGACATGGATATTATTATATATATATATATGCAAATCGAAAGAGGTTTACTACGTAATACAAAAATGAAATCCTACCCTTCACCAAAATGAAATATTGTAACATTAATAATCAGCAGCAGATTATATTTTTTTATATTGATCCAGTGTAACAAGATAACTTCTTTATAATTTGTTACATTTGAAGCAGTAACTACACGAACATCAGAGTAGTGGGTATATTTGTTTTACAATTATGTAATGGAAACAAATCTTTAAGACATTACATGCAGTAAAACAATTTGTATAACACAAGAGAATTAATCATAATAAGAATAGTTTGGTAAATATATTGACATGGATATTATTATATATATATATATGCAAATCGAAAGAGGTTTACTACGTAATACAAAAATGAAATCCTACCCTTCACCCAAATGACATATTGTAACATTAATAATCAACAGCAGATTATAATTTTAAGCCATAAAAACTTAACTTGCTAGTTACATATACAGTTGTAGTTACATATCTCTCAAAGAATTCCTCAAGCAGTTTTTCATAAAGTAATATACATTTCCATGTATTGGAAAAGACGAAACGCAAATTCACAAATGAGCATAAACTGTATACATACATATCATCTGCTTCGTAAGCACTTACGCAAAAGAAATATCAACATCAACTGATTACATAGGATGACAACTTTTGTTTTAAAATGAAAATTCGATGCTATCATAAAATGTATCTCTTTTGCACCAGGAGCTAAACAATCTGTCTATGCATGAACATTGAGATAATGTAAAATGATAGGGGTGCTCAGAAAGTGAAGACAGTGAATAACCGTGGTAGTGCTAATGTGTAAAATATTTCATATTTTTATTAGGTTTATTCATAACTCTATAGGGCATGGAAATATAGCAATCCGGCATAAATCCATTATTCAGTATGACAGAGTCACATTAGTTACAATTTGTAGTATGCACGTAGACCTAAGTAAAAGAAAGCCGTTAACTTCAAACCATTAACAAAACAAAACAAATCAATGGCTAGATATATTATTGCAACGTATATTTCAAAACATTTATTAATCAAATATGTACGATTCCATTTTTTTAAAAAGAGAATAGGGATATTCGCAAATGATCATAACATGTATCAATATATTATTTGCTTCCTAAGTTAATTTAAGTCAGTCAAATTGTGCGCTTTGTATCTGATATCTGATCTTTGTTTCTGATGAATACATGTTGATTTGCCGGACCGCGGCTTTAGAAGAAATTTTAGTCTAAACCTCATTTTGAATAATTGTTAGCAAAAAAGGAAATGTAATGGAACGTGCCGGATACAATATAATAAATCCTCCCTGTACCGATTATATATGCGATAATTTGATATCCATCCACGATTTCCGGTAAATTTCAGTGCGATAAATACAGGTGTATTCATGTCAGCTATCGCCTGAGGTTAGCCTGTGCGAAGTCCTCCTAAGCAGGTACAGTCAGTTCAATGATACAATCTTGCTTCTACAGTAGGCTTGTGGGTGCACCATGTGAGAGAGAGAGGGAGAGAGGATTGAGGAGTCCTGAAAAGGACTCTCGGTAATCTATAGCATCTTGCTTCTATTGGTAAAAAATGATATTGGATCTTCTTCAAACGCTCTTCTTTTTTACACTCAGCGCTGAACATATTGCTTTAAAGATGGCAGGTGGAAGTTAATGTACGAAGGAGTCATCACGAAAAACCATGACATGCCTCTGGAGGTAACAGCCCGTAGGTTAGGGTCTACTAGCAGCTGTTGAAGAGATTTAGCATGGTGCAAAAATAAATTTTAGCGACAAAGAGCACACTGGCGATGGCCCAATGGATGTTTTCTCCATTCCGTCAAGTTGTCAAGTGGCGGTAGTGCGTCCAGCGCTGTATTCAAATACAACTTCACAGCCTCTGATAACCAGGATGAACATATAGCCGTCCGTTTCATCTGGATTTCATATGTTTTACAGCCAGATCTGAATACGTTAAAGGGCAAACGCTAGAAGCAAATTATACATGATATGAGTGTGCAGTGTGCTGTTTTATTCTATCACGTGATTGTATAACTTGGTTTCATAATGGTGCTGGTCCCTCTGCGGAGATTTGTTATAGAGGTGTTTATTCCATTACACTAATAAATTCTTGGGCAGAATGAGTATTCAAAGTAGTCCTTTCTCGTTAGAATTTGTTGGAATGTGTGATTATTTGAGGACAGAAGACCTTTCCACAAGGTGGGATGGGAAATGAAGACCAAAGCCAAGATATTTCATTTCCGTGTTTACTTATCAGCCACTTCGGCCATCTGCTTATATCTCCAGTGTCGTTGACAAAGCTTTGAAAAGACTGAAATCATATGGGAGGAGCCATCGCACAGTCCCGGCAGCAAGAAGAGTACATTAGTAATACATATAGACAGATAGAAGACGGTCTATGACATCTCAAATGTCTCCTTATGACTGAATGAAGATCTCATATTGCACTAGCTACACAGAAGTGAAGTTCAAATATCTGATTGAAGACAGTGCAAAAGTATCCAACAAATCCTGGTATTAAAACCTCTTTCGGGCTAAATGGCGTATTAAACAAACATTATGATTCAAAAGAACTCTTAAAACTGCAGAGGACGAATGTTGTATAAGGCCCACCACCTGATTCTATTGAGTCACGTAAGACATACTGGCCATTTATTCTTCTTTGATTTGCGATCGTTCACAAACAAGTGTTGCAATAACAGAAAGCCCATTGCTGTGATTTTCTCCCACCTTCTTTGCCAATTTGAGTAAATCTTGAAAGAATGGGTACATTCCTTGAGCTAGAACCATGAACGTCCCCAAGCATACTTTATTCCAATCCTCCTCTTCCATGTTCTCTGGTTTGTTGTTGAGCTTCTCTGCATAGGCTTCTTCCATTTTCTTTGGAGACATTCTAGGTCTTTCACTCCGGTCCACATCATACCGTCCAAAAAATTCATAACTATTCATAACCGCATCCTCGCCTTGATCCCATATCATATAGTCGATGCCTTTGCCAGCAAACATCCCTCCAATTCCACCAGCAAGGCCTCCAATTACTGCTCCTACTCCAGCACCAACACCACCAAACCATACTCCTCCAGCCGCACCTGCAGCAGCACCGCCTAGTATACCACCTCCTGCTGCTCCTGCGCCCTCTGCAATACGTTGACGTAGCTCCACACTTGTGATCTTATGCATTTTCCAGTCAACCACGTCCCAAACTACAAAGACACCAAACATTGCAATTCCAGAAGCGGCATTAGCTCGGACAACTGAAGCCCCTGCGTTGGTAATTGTCGGCGTTGTATTCTTGACAACCGTTACTGCAACACCTTTCCCAACACCTGCTCGTAAAGCAGATTTAATACCTGCCTGGAGTACGTCCTCCCCAGAATGCCATGCACCTCCTACAGCCATCACAAATGCAAGGCCTGAGCTAAAAGCTGTATTCATTCTTACACCTGTGATGTTCCTTCCTTTAATTTCCTTAATTATTTTCCCTACAGCTTCTCCACAAGGTTTTGCAAATTGATCTAGGGACACAGTGCTGCTGCCGCTCAATCTTGCCCTTTCAGGAGATGCTATAACTGTGAAAAGGCCTCTTAGCATTGCCCTTTTCGCAGGAGATGAGAGTGATGCTCTTGGTATTCCTTCCGATATCGAGATAAAGGTAATTTTTCGTCTTACCACCTTGTCTTCCAGTCGAGCATGATCTTTCCCGAACAGCTTGCAAAGTGCCTTTTCAAGCCGAGGTTTGTCATTAACGTGGTCCAACTTGGTTAAGCTTTTCAATGTATCACACAGTTCGTCAATCGGCATTGATTGTTCAGGCCTTAATGCTTGATCACCCTGAAGAACGCGAGCTTTACCATCACCTAGAGGCTCAATGGCAAACACATGATCGCCGCCCTCACTTTGAAGGAGGCCCATCAGTATTTCAGTTTTCGGGTCGTTCAACTTACTCGCAACCTCGTTGAGCACGTTCGGATCTATTTTGACATCGTGCTTGGGTGCATAAACGATACTCATACCTTGCATTAACAACTCCAAATAACCAGCCCACTCCACACAGGATTCTGCTTCTTTCTCTATACTGCGTATAATTTCATCAGCGTCCACAGTATTAGATATCTCGTCCAAAGTTGTTATTATTTCAGCTACTTGCGTCGCTCCAAGTGTCGTCATCTGAAAGAAATAAACAAAATGATAGCATTACTATTAGTAGTAGTATTAGAATAGGTATCTATTATAATTAAAATGACAGAGCCCTTTTTAGTTGGCTGCTAACTCCTCCGACACGGCGTTATCAATCTCCTCCAAACTTGGCGAACTAATTAATCTTTGCCTACTCCAACACCTTGAGAAACTTAAATTGTAAAAATTTTAAAAATACTATAAAAATTCGGTAAAATCGGTAAAAAGTGCCATGAAATGGCAATTGGGAAGCATCTCTGGGCATGCATGACCTATTTCTTTCAGACTAGGCGTAATTACACCCAATTTGTGCATTTTGGGCTTGAAAAGTTGAAGTAGGACATTATTTACCTTGAGGATTTGCATATAAGGATGTCAGGGCAATATGAGTTTAGAAGGAAATATCAACAGAGTGCCTATAATATTACTAGGTGCAAATTGGTCAAGAACTTCAATTACTTTAAATTTTTAATTAATATAATATTTCTATTATATCACTCCCGTTAGTGCCCAAGGGCCGGGGCGGGGTCCTAGGTACCCAACCTAATTATGCAAATGAAGCCATGGGCGGATTTACCAAATTTTGTTATCAGGAGAAGCGTAATCAAAAGTCTGACATTTAGTAAAAATTATGTCGAAAAATTCCATTGCGTAACCGAGAAATCGTGAACAACTAAAATGTTGGGTACCCTTGTGCACTTAAGTGTTAAGCACGACTTGATTAACAAATACGACTCTAACTAACTACATTTACTAAATTTTAAATTAAAAAAATTAATTCCAAAACAAGTCTGCCCTCTGAAAGAAAAATAAACATTGTTTTTAGCATTGTGATAATAATAACTGTATGCTAACTTGATAAATACTTGTACTTTGATTGATTGATGGTTTGAATAGTTGACTGATTAAGTACCGTAACTGATCGATTATGTGATTGACGGTTGTTTATTTCTCATCATTACAATATAAGCAATGCCATATTCGCTTTTGCATCAATAACTGGTCACCTTATTATGTTGTCCTTAGCCTTGTTTACGCTGTTATCCTGTACTGTTCTGTCTTGTCATGTATCTACCACATAACAAAAGCTACATATTCAAATCTGAGGTGGGGCCATACTTAAAACTTTCCCGAGTTTAATATTGGCCTATCCCTCATATTTCTTGCCATCTATGCAGTTATGCTCTCCTCAATAATATGTCACATTATGTTAATTTAATTGTTCAGAAAAAACCTATTGATCTAATTGATACGTTATACTCTGTATTATTATTTTCTTGTATGTCATCATATATTGCTTAAATTAACGATATTATTTTATATTAGATAGCTTAGGCAGATACCGAAATGTGATTGGTCCAGAGCTCGTCACGTGATATGATTGTTATATTTTCCCGGCCGGTCACTTCCAAGTGTTATATTAACCAGCTGGTGAAATGAACGAATACCGAGGGTCAATTTTTTTTTTCGATTATTTTTTTTCTCCCCTTAGTCTTTATTTTTTTCCAAATTTTTTTTTTCTCCCAAAAAATACTTTAAGTTATTATTTTTTTTTAATTTAAAGATTTAAAGATTATATAACATTCTTCTGACCTGAAGATTTTCCCTCGTGGCCATATTTTCCCTCAGCGCTGCGCGCTTCGGAAAAATAAAACCACTTGGGAGAATAAAACCCTTCGACGGTCCAAAGAAGGTTATATTTAGGGGCGGCGATTTCTTTTAATGACCGGGGAGGACGAAAAGCGAATTTTTTGTAAAAGGATGTTTTGCGAGGGAGCGTAGCGACTGAGCGAGAATATTTTTGCATTTTTATTAGTCTGAACGCTGCATTCTTAGGCCCTCCAGAGCCTAAAAGTGTGTTGTAGTCATTATTCAGTATTTGATATACATCTTTTTGCACTTTTTCAACTTTACCGGGGGGACGTGGAACAGCAGGGATCGGGAGCATCGTGCCCCCCCCCCCCACCATTTTTTTTGGAAAAAGTATATTAAAGAGAAATAGAAAGAAAGAGAGAAAGACAGAAAGGATAATTAACTGCCAGTGTCACAAAATAATGAGGTATCAAAATATGCTCATTTGACCGTGATTAAATGCCTAAAACCCCTGAGCTTCGGTGGCGGACAAGGTATTAAAATATGTTCATCTGACCGCAGGCGCGTAGCCATTGGGGGGGGGGGGGGCGGGGGCGCACAGTGGGCCAGAATCGCCTCAAAGTGTGCCAAAATTCAAATTGGCGAATGTGAATTTTTATATTTTTTTCATTCGCTTGGGGAAGAAAACAAGAATATTTGTCCACCCATATTTTAATATTTAGCGAGTTTTAAAAGTGTCATATACCCCTGCGAACATGGGAAAATCTATATGTTGATCCAAAAATGATAAAAGAGGCAACTTTACAATGGGTGTTGAGAATTTATGAAGGGAAAGCAATCAACTTGATACTTCCATGCACTTCTTGCCTATTGGTAACCAAAATAGAAAATAAAATGACCAAATTTGTGGAAGCTTCATTTTGGGAAAAATGAGCATTAAATTTCACACAAAAAGGAAAAAATTGCAATTTTTATATAAAAGTAGCATGTTTATTAGGATTCCGGCCGATTCCCGCAGTGATGTTAATCTCAAAATGTCCGCCCAAACCTAAGCTTTCCATGTATGGTATTTCTTTTTGCCAGAATTTGCTACACTGCATGTGCAGGCGCTTTTCCTCCCCACGTTCATCGATTATTATTAGGCATAATCGGTACACATTTGTACTGTTTAGGTTTACGCACAGCCGATTCAACGCTCGTCCGCGTAACCATGGCAACGGTTACGTGAGTGTAAAGCGTATAGCGTAGTGTATATTTCTTTCACACGTTGATGCAATTCGCAATCATATATGGTATCATTCTAGGAGAACTTGGATTGAAATAAACGATGGCGGTATTAAGAAGACAGCTTTTTCATGCTGTGCATTCAGCTGGCTTCATTTCAGACATCAAACTGGCATCCAAAACATCCATTGATGCATTATGTGCATATCATAATGTGGGTAACAAGTCAAACATCCCACAAAAACTTCTCAAGAATTTGTCAAAGACTATTGGACGCTTTCTGTATCGTATGCGAGAGAAATGGAACAAGTGGTCGTTACCAGGAATATTTCATGAAAGAAAACAAGGACTGGCTTAATCAGAAATTGACATTCAATACTGAAGTAGAAACATTTCTTGCACAGCAAAACAGCACAGATACCGGGACAGAAACAGAGCCAACTTCAGACTTGCCAGGCACTTCACAGGGCGCATCCAATGTGGGACGTACAGCTAAGAATTGGGACACCCTCTCAGATCGTTCTAAAAAAAGAAAAGCCTACCACCTTCTAGAAGACAGGGAACCAGAGGAACTTCTATATGCGGCATCTCAAGGCGTGTATAAGGAAAATTCAAGTTTGAAATATGTGTTGAAATTCGCAATGCTAACACCATCAAGACCAGCTAAAATAAGGAAACTGATATCAGAAAAAAAGAAAGAACCATTAAAATTCTCAAGTGAAGAAGCTTTGTCACTTTTAGTTGAAACAGGAATGACAAAACAGGCATACCAAACAACCAGACTTGCTGCAAAAGGTAAAAATGCTGATATTTATCCACCGTATAACGAGATTGGGGAAGCTAAGGGAAAATGTTATCCCAATGACATCTCAGTCACGGAAGACTCTGGGAAAGTACCCCTCCAAAGTCTCTTAGACCACACTGCACTTCGGATAATTCAGGAGCAGAAGGACACTATCACGCAAGTCATTGAAAATTTAGAAGAAGATGAACAGTTCAATTGTGAATTGGTGTACAATGGGGCTTTGACCAGACGGCTCATCAGGCCACAGTAAATACTAAACAGAAGTCTACTGCAGGTACGTGTTTTCTCCTTTCCACCCTACAGAGCTAAATGCGTTTATTCTTTTTTTTATCAGAGAGACCAACATCATCAAAGCTGATTCATGAAACAAATAACAAAAAGGACATATCTTAAGTAAAATAAAAACACATGTTTTCAATGCTCCAACAATTAAACAAGCTTAGGTTTCCATTAATATTTATTTCCTGATAATTATATATATTTCTTATGAGCAATATTATTTTATGTTTTGATAAAATAAATAATCAAAACCTCCAAATGTTGGGATAATATAGATACATTTGGACGTACATGATGTATGAGTATAACATTTTAAGTTTCATTCTGATGAAATTTTAAAGAAATTTTGAATTCATGTTTGCTGTACACGATTATGCATAATAATTTTATTTTTCTACTGCAGGTACTTTGGATGACAGCAGCATATTCTGCACTACTCTAGGTCCGCTGCAATTGAAGTTAAAAGACAGTATTTTTTGGCAAAATCCGGTTTCGTCTTCGTCAAGATTTTGCCGACCCATTCATCTTCAATTCAAGAAAGAAACAACTGAACTCTCTCAGGAAGAGTATAGATCTGTTCAAGATGAAATCAAGAAATTGCAACCTATGAATGTATCTTTGGACAGCTGGCAGCAGATCTAAATAGGAACGACAACATACAGATTAACTATGAATTGCACTTCACCATGGTAGATCAGAAAGTCGTGAAAGCTCTGACAGAAACCAAGTCATCTATGCCGCGATGCTATGTCTGTGGGGCTACTCCCAAACAGTTCAATGGCATAGAGAAACTTCCCTCCGCGTCAAATGAGGAAGCTTATAGCTATGGACTCTCACCTCTACATAAATGGATCAGATGTTTTGAGATGTGTATTCACATTGCTTACAGAATTACGATTAAAAAGTGGCGTGTTTCAACTGAAAATGAAAAAGCTGTCGTCGCTGCTCAGAAGAAGAAAATACACAATCGCTTCAAAGAGGAAATTGGTCTTAAAGTAGATGAACCGAAACAAGGATCGGGAAATACAAACGATGGGAACACTGCACGCAGAGCATTCCAAGAGGAGGAAACCTTTGCTGACATTTGCGG